GTGAATTGTTAACTTAAATAACCCTTTGTACTACACCTGGTGAGCAGTGTAGCCAATCCTGCAATCTTCAGCGCTATATTCAATGTAAGCTTTCATTATTCATCTCTTGAGCACGTCCCGGTAGCCATTTGGATAATTTTCTACCTGGCTACAGGGATATGCTAAGGAGAAGAACATGAAGGGCAGCACACTTAGATCCGAAGCATGTGGAGCGATAATCAGGTGTTTTATCGTTACAATCCCAATCTACTTTTTGGACGCGGCCGGAATGTACACATTGAACACATTGAATGTTAAAATTACGTTTTTCGAAAGAGAAAAAAGTAGAATTTACTTTGATTTTCTATTATAGAATGCTTGAACATAGCATAATTCACAGTTTATCATAGGTCAACAGTGCTGAGTGGGTGATAACCGAATAGAATTCAAGGAGTGCGCATGTCTCGGTTATTGACTTCCATAGTTGCAAATTGAGTTAACGTAGCTTGCATTTGTGACAGTTGGCCAATCAGGACAACGGGGTCGGCGTCGGGCGAGCGAGCAGCTATATCCATCAGTGAACTGCAATACTGGCAACATTACTTCTAGCATTTTAACATGTCACCACTGTTTAGGTTGATTTTATTCATTGTTATCTTTAAGACTTCAGCGAATGTTACCAGCTTTTACTCCTCTATATTCTATGCATTTGTGGAATTTGGCATTTTTTGTTGATTTCAAGCTAAAGAATATTTCTTATTCTTTGGAATAATCTTCTTTTGGTTTTTTATTGTTATTCAAAAAAAAGTCGTAAATAAAAATTAAATGCTGTATCTCGTAGACAACAAGTAGATTTGGATATTTAATAAAAAATGTACAGAAATTTTGGTTTTTTTCTTGAAGTTAAGGAGGGGTGCGAAAAAGCAGGTGTCCACATATTTGAGATTTCAACACCAATGTACACTACCGTTTCGAAAATAATGAATTAAAAGAGCTATCATGCTTTAGTCTGCTTATATCATAACTTGCTTATCTAATCGTATTGATCGCTTTGAAATCCACATTTGTTTGAAAAAATGTACAGTAAAGGTCTTATTTACACTAGCAATATTCCAATAACTTTCAGTTACTAACACTATTAACTTTTAGCAACTTGTTGCACAAAGCTTTATGTCTGTGTAGGAAAATAGCTGACTGAGAAGCAAACTTTATACCTGGTGACGTTCAACTCGCACGAATCACACAGTCGTAGATGGGCGCAAAGCTCTGGCTTCGGTTCGAATTGTCGCAGTTGCTTATACACTGCTCCCAAAATGTCTTTCATGAGCATTACGCACTTCTTCATCCACATCTCATGCTTGATCACCATCTTGCATAGTTTCACTGCATCCTGCAAATCTGTGTGCATCTCATTGATGAAAAATTTAGTCTTTGAAATGCACTTACAACATTATGAATAAGTTCATCGTAAATATTTGTGCAAATCCCCTTTGAAACTGCATCTTTGGTTTGAGACAAGTTTTTGCATAGATCTTATAAAAAAGAGCCTATTAAAGTCAGCAAACAACTTCGCATATTCTTTAAATGGGGCATAACTTTCTTCTTACAAAGGAAGGCTACTACTTGGTCGTAATATTTCAATATAAAACGCGCACTACCAGATGCAACTTAAAACGCTTCAAATCTGTCATCCACAACTGCTACACGTTTCTTCGAAGAAAGTTACGAATATTCCATCCTGCGAGAAATGCGTGTATCAGCAGTTAGTTCCTTCAAATCTCAGAAATCACCCAAAAGACAAAGTAAAAACGAGTTTTTGCTGGTGAAGCTTACTTTAGTTAACAAATGAACCTTATATCGCTTAACTAAAAATTTGATGTTTTAGTAATAAATGACACAATCATAACATTACAAGCTATTTTTTACGGAAAGCAAATTCCATATCTTCTGTCAGAAAATAATATAGCGGATATGGAAGGTAGGTTTGAAATCAGCATTTTGTATCAGAGCCACTATCACTAAGAATTCTTCTCTTGAACATTTAATCTTATGTCCAACGGGTTTACCATATTACTATACTTTGAGATACCTGTAACATATCGGATAGGCAAAAAATTCTTTAAAAAAACAGTTTTGTCAGTATCAATTATTTGGGCCTTAGGGCAGAGTCACCCAGAGTATTGGTGGCGTTGAACAATGCACCTTCTGAAATGTTTTAAGATAGCGAATTGAACTAACAACCCTGAACTGTCTTAGGTCAAACTTTAGCGCAGCAAAATGTCAACATTTTCAAACTCTCTGCGACTGGATGCAAGGGGAGTGAGAGGGATAGGGAGAGAAGGAGAGCGAGAAAAGAGGTCAAGATCTTGTTAGAAAAGGAAGTCGCGTCAATTTTTGAGTCGGAATGGAAGACCACACCGAGTCCTGCAAAACAGACTTATGTAAAGACATGAAATCTTGCTTAAATCATGGTATTATATGTTCTAAGTCCACAATATACAACTTCTAGGGAGCCTACCTTGAACTGCTTTAGGCAGGGATGAACTTCACAAACTGTTTCGAACGTAATTTACATTCGGACAGCTTACAAGAATTTTTCAAAAGTCCGTTCCTCATTGCAATGGCTGATAATCTTTTCCATGATTGGCCTAAAGTAGTAACTGCCTTGTAATGCAGCGACCAAAAGTCGAAAGCCTGTCTGTAGCCAAAGTAAACCACCCGAAACTTTCGAGCGGCCAATTTGCAAAATTGTTTTTTGCTAAGATGAGGCTTCAGTTATGGAAGGTAGTAGCAACTAGATAGGTGACACTTAAAGGAGTCGAGATAAGACTATGTCCTTTTGATTCTACCCATCAATCCAGGACCTCTAATTCTTTCGAATTTGCCGAAGCTTTGTTAGGTGGCGCAAAAAATTCATCAATTTCTTTTACTAAGATTTGTGCGAATTTAATTCTGCAGATAGCGGGCTGGCGGCGGCGTAGCAAGATTTCCCAGCCTCGCCGCTTTTCCCTGGAGCAAGGACTTGAGCATCCTAAGGTGATTTAGAGCCTCATAAACGCTAAGCTCAGACTTCGCCCAATGCTCCGCCTGTCATCACACTGGCCTGTGCAAGCCAGATAACGGATAAATTGATCAACAAACTGGAAGAGGAAGTTAATGTAATGTTTTCTTCATGTTGTCGTCTTCGATTTAGAATGAAGAGTGATGGAAGGAAGGCTAGCCTCCATTCAAATACACACAAACTCTCATTTCTTTCATACTTAAGCTACAACTCTGTTCAATTTCAGTAACTTCATGATGTCACATTGCTGGTGTTTTTACGACATACAGTTTGAAGTTATCGGTGAAAAGTGAATGATAAATGATCCTGTGTTGAATGCTCCCTAGTTTTGATTTCTATGTCCGTTCATTGGGCTTACGCATCCCAGCCTGAGGCATAGCAGAATAATGGGCGGGGCTAAAACCTAACGTTTGGGAGGGGTTAGTT